GAGGAATATGAAAGTTGAATTTGGTCACGTGGGAATCGTTTTAGCCTTTTCGAAGGTGGGAACTCGAGACTGTAATACTAAGCGTTATAGATCTTGTTGGGAGGTTTGCAAAGCTTTTTTGAGAGGAATTAACCACTGGCTACTCTTTTGCTTTTATTTTGGGGGATAAAAAGGTGAATTTGATGTAGGAGATGTTATTATAGAAGAGTATGTAGAATGGCACAAAATTACTGTATATGTATTATGTATAGCATGCATATGTTGTGGTTTTATTTTAGGGGTACTATGAAAGTCAACCAAATATTACGAAGTCAACCAAAAAAATACAGGATGGTTGCATAAGCTCCGTTCGTTAAGCCTAACACTTTTCGACATTCGTATAATTCGCTGAATACCTGCTTCCGTTCCTAACTCGGTTAGGAGGATATTTAGAGGACTACGTGGCAATCGAGTCGTTTGCCACCGTAGCTATTTATATTACAATTTTACGAGAATCTCTGTCGAATGGAATTGTTTATCATTTAGTACAAATCAATTTCTCTTTAGAGAAATTATGAGAAAATATAGAATTTTCTAACAGAAATTTCGAGGAAGATTAATTGAATGAACTATTGTGCCTTTGTATTCATTCATTTATAACTTCAGTTTAAACAAGACTGAATTCAGTTTAATAAGACACCACTTTGATACATTAAAATACCAGCATTCCATGAAATGAAATTTTGCTTACCATTATCCCCTTGGAATCGTTACAATTACCAAGTACACCTGTAATCTGTTGGATAAACAAGAACAAGCAAAGTTCATTGGCTAGTGAACTTCGGTGGTAATTTAGTGTAATAAAATAATAAGTATATCTACTTAAGCTAGAGTTATAAATGACGGAATATAAAGTCACAGAATTAATTTCTATGCCTAATAAATGGAATCAAGGAATAATCCACGCAAAGATACGCGTCTCGGCTCAAGTAATTCGCTAATTGGACGTTGCAGTTGAACGTCGTCCCCTATCTAGTTTGTGTACTAATTTAAAATCGATAAATTATATGGTTCGATGCATTTCTCCTCCAAGCGAAACGCGTAATCGTACAAAATCCGTGTTTCGAAGAGCGAAGTTAGACGCAGGTTCTACTAATTACCGATACCTCAGACAATTTTCCCTGTTAATTGATTCGCCGCGTGAAACTTCCAGGGAGACGCGCGCTGGCGCGTTTGTCGCGGTATATTTTAAACAAATTTTAAACGAATCGAGCGAGTAATCGATACGAAAACTGTCGAGGGAGAAAATGAATGCCAACTTACTTTCAATATTATTTTCAAAGCTGTGTATACATTTATTACTGAATATATAATGCTTTCAACCCTTCGTTGTCGAACATCTCGAATGATACAATGATCGGTATTATTTAACAAATACAAATAAGTGCGTTCAAATTAAGTGAATGGAAATTTCTTTTGTAGTTAACGAATTAAAAAGGTTATCGAATTTTAAGAGAGTCTCTCAAAGGAGTGCTTCATGATGTCGTCTTCTAATTAAACATAATTGCGACGCGATCCTTTCATTATTAATGAAAGCATGATTGTAATCAAACGTGAAAGATGATATAGCTTATGAGTGGTATAGAAAGACAAAATTTAAAAGCATCCTTTTGAAAAACCCTCTATAACCAGTTTGACCGAAGACAATCAATGATTCGAAATGATCAAAAATTCATGTTCCAAATAGGAGAACTCTCCAATTGGACGTAATGGCACAAGAATGACAGAGTAGACAGAAGGGCGCAAAGAAATCAAGATACTTTATTGCAACAATTTTACTATGTAACATCTAGTCTTAATATCATTGTTAGATACTGATTATGGATAACTATAGGCACATATCGCGTAGCTTGTTTACTATTGGGCCAGCTGTTATTGTGTCCGATATTTCCTTGAAGTCGCTCGTCGCAGGATCTACGGCGGCGAAGGTGAGGCGAACATAATCGAGCACGAATCCAACTATTTTTCTGTTGGTATCGTAAACTTTGACGTTGTTCACACTTTCAGATGTGAACTCTGTGTCGGTGATGAAAACCTTACTATGGGACGATATCTAGAAACGTAGAGCAAAGATTACTCCGTTATGTATCATACTTACAATTTAATTATAATTATTTGATTGTTTAAAATGTAATTGTGATATATAATTTCGTTACATGTAACTATCGGGTGGAGAAATTAATTACGTGCCTTTATATTCGATCATTTATGACTAATTTAAACAGGAATATTCGTGGAATGGCTTCGGCATCGTTACCGTATTCCAGAAGGCTAAATGAAGATTATTGTTTTTTCGAAAAGATCTATTTGCTGGAGTTTGCTATACATGCAGTCAATCTCATAAGTAGACTGCGGATCTTTATGCAAAATAAAATCCTCGCGAACGTGCCTACGAAACTTAAACCTAAATAGGAATTTCTTTTATTCTGAAAATATTATAACATGAACTTTACTTTCGATCTTTTTTATATTTTTCCATATTGTTTGCAATTTTTAGTTTCACGCACATTCAAATTTCCTACAAAATGCACAAAGATCCGCAGTCTACTCGTAAGTATTCGTACCTTCTACGTCTATTAAACAAATTTGTCTCAATTATGGGAGAGATGTTTCCAAATAAATCGTTCATTATAAATATTAACATGAGCAAATTCAAAATTTATTCGTAACGAATAAATTTGGAAACATCGAACTTATCATTTAGACAAATTTCTTCAACAGACATACAGGGTACGAATACTTACGGGACTGACTCTATATTGAATAATAGAAAGATCATTTTTATTTAGATTCTTTTGATAAAGTGACGATGGTAAAGCCAAAGGGTCTTGCGCTCTTAAATGAAATATGTCTTATCATCAGAACGGTACAGTACGTACAGTCAGTGTAATAAGTATTCGCACAGGAACCATTTATTTTAAATAGGTTGCTGTACGAATACTTCTTACGCTGACTCTGTATTACTGCTGATTTTTTATACATTTTTGTATCTGTGCACGTTCCCATAGATTCTCCCATTTACCATAAATGCATAAACATACGCAATCCAGTTCAACAAATACTTCAGTGAAAAGGATTCCCCACAGTCGATCCAAGTGCTCCAAATTCAAATCCCTCTACCCTCGTTCATTTTTCCTACCAACTCCTGCGTACGTAAATTGGAGTACAATAAAAAAAAAAAAGAAAGAAAACGATAGCTCACCAGTTTCTCGATGGACCCGGTAGGCACGACGTCGTCCGCCCTAGGCCCGAAGAAGTAAACCGGATGCGGGATGCACTCGTCCAGCCTCACCTCTTTCTCGATCTTCAACGCCGTCTCGATCCGCATATTAATAGGCCATGTAAACAGGAACTCGGCATCCGCGGATTGTTTGTCCAGCTTGGACTTGGTGACTTTGTAATCGACGGTGCACTCCCCCACGGTCGTGTTGTCCAGTTTCTTGATCTCCTCGATCTCGCCAAACTTGGAGCCGATGTTCAGCTGATTGGCCACGATTCTGTACAAGTTCCTCCGGTAGGGAGGTATCCGTACCTCGTCGTTCTCGAATCTGTAGTGGTCGATTCCCTCGTCGTCGAACTTTATCTCGAAGGACGTGTTCCCGAAGCAGAAGTCCTCGTAGACGGCGTCTTCAGGCGGGATCGCTGACTCGATGTTTATGCCCTTCGGCGCGAGTTTCGTCAGTTTCGTGTTCTCGTAACGACAGTGGAGCCTATAGGGCTCTCTGGGACGGCATTTGAGGCTGGTGATCAGGCTCGATCCGGCGAGGCTATCCTCTCTCGTCGCCAAATCCGAGATGGTGCTCACGGTGACGTTGAACGTGTACTCCGGCCCGTTGTGCCATCGATCCCCGTTCGTCGGCAGTCGAATCGCTGAAACACACAGATACATGTATAAGTTTAGTTGGAAATCGGGTGAATCGCTCGTGAATATTTCGACGGTACGGGGCGAGAGAGCCGCGAGTCGACGGCGTTCAAACGGTTTTAAAACTCGTTACGCGAACCGACCTGACCCGTCCTTCGTGAATCATTGGCCGGGCACCGACGACAACCGGTCACGAAGTGTTAATCGAGTAATCAGAGGGGGACCTAACTGACCTAGGAGAAACGGCACCACAATAAAGTTCATGACGTCGCTTGGTGGTCTAGTCGTAACAAAGTTGTCATCCCCGCGGCGCTCGGCTGGGCTTTTATACGCTCGTGGTACTAGTCGCCCGGGGCTGCGGTGGGGCGCGATCTAATCGTGTTCTCACAGTCAGCAACACTAATTTCTACGAATGAATTGCTGTCATCAGCCATTGCTTTCGGTGGTTAGACGACGTGCAGCTCTTGTATGCGTGCTCGTTGCGTGCAGGCGAATGCACTGTTGGAGACCGTTTAGGGGAGATGGTCTTGTAGGAAAGTTTGCAGGCTACGATAGCGCAACAGGTCGTACCATATTTTTGCGAGACTTCTGAATAGCTGCTGCAAACTATCACTTTTATTTATTTATTTATTTATTTATGTAGGGACCAGAAATGGTGAACAGGTATACTGTATATATATAAATAAATGAATATATAAATAAATGTATGCGCCAGTTGACGAATGGAGAAAATAGTTCAATTTAAAATATATGTATTTATATAGAGATTAATAGCACAGAAATAAAACAAAATAAACTATATATATATAGTTTATTATATATATATTGCCATCTACTGGAGAATATTTTGTAAAAGTGATGATGAATATGGATGAGCAATGGATATGAAGCAGTACGACGAAGGACTGTCGTAGCGACAAGTGTTTTTGTTTTTGCTTTGTTTTGGCCACTAAGGACTGTGTGCCGTTGCGATTTCGATACTCCTTTGCGCATTTCGTGAATAATTAAGAAATTTATTTTGTTTTATTTCTGTGCTATTAATCTCTATATAAATACATATATTTTAAATTGAACTATTTTCTCCATTCGTCAACCGGCGCCTACATTTATTTATATATTCATTTATTTCAATATATACAGGCATAGCCCTTTATGAAATTAATACAGTTTAGCAGTTATAGACATCACAGTTGACAGATGTCAAGACAAATACAAATTTACAAAGAAGCAAACAATCATAACAAAGTTATCGCCGATGAATAACAGAGTTGCCGATAAAAAGGTTATATAGCCTATGTTTAGTAGAGTCGATAGAGTCAATAAACATATCGCTGTCTGAACTAAAGCATTTAACTGTAGCACAGGAACGGACGACAGTATCGAGGTGACAGTATCTAGACGAGGAAACGTATTGGTGAAAAAGATATGAGGATCTAGTGGTCCTGGAAGGAATGTGTGATGTGTGATGTGTGAAAAAGTGTGTGTGTTTACAAGTCCAAGAAGAGGTGGACAATCAATTATATTAATAAGAAGCTTCTGAATAAAAACAATTTCATTTATTGCGCGTCTGTCCCTGAGTGATAGTACCCTGAAACTTTTTGTCGAGTAATTTTTCTAGGGAGGACGATAAGTTATATTTTGAGGTAGCTTGTGTTGGTTTATTATGAAATAAACGTGTAACAAAAATAAATCTAGAGTTGAGGGACACTGCGTCTCTCATAAGAGGAAGTTTCATTTCTGCTGCCTTTGTAGTTGGGCCTCTGGCAGTATTTGCGTACAAGACGGCAGTGTGAAAAACATGTGGCAGACCCAAACCATATTTTTCATATCTTCACTCTTTGTTTGAATCTTGAGACGAAAAGTCATCCTTCCGCGTCTAAGCAATAAAGGATAAAATATAAAGATTTACAGACTGAGAGTTTCTTCTCTTAACCAATCCCATATTCCAATAGCTTGATGCTTCTAGGGGCGGAGCCTTCGATTTTTTAAAGGAAATTTAAATATAAGAAGATTAATTTACGCGATTAAATTCGTGCGATATCGTGTGAATCACGTGAGTTACCTGAATGGGTTCACTTGGAGGAAGTCTTAGATAGTTCGAGGTTCTGGATATACAGTCAGCCTCCACGAGTATTCGTACCTTCTATGTCTGTCGAAGAAATTTACCTAAGTAGAATGATAAGAATGATGTTCCGAAATGAATTTTTCATTATTTTACATATACATTAAGTTTATTCGTGTACATATTCGCGATGAGACATTTATTTGCAGCCATTAAATATGCCTTTCAATTTAGACGAATTTCGTCGACAGACAAAGGATGTAGGAATATCTTAACGCTGACTATAAATTAATGTAAAATTAATGGAACGCTGAATTTGAACATTGCGAAATAATAAAATGCGCTGTATTTATAAATTGAAGAAATTTTTTAATTTCGACAAGTTTTGAAACTTGTTCTTTAAATATCTTTTACATAAGTATACAGAATCTCTATGATGTTCTGAAGTGAACGGGTTGACAAAGCATTTTAAGACGTCATAATCGTTACTTTGGTAAAGGAAAGCATGTGGAGAAAATGGGCGCAGATAGACTCACCGTCCCTCTAATCATATGTGGTTTATGCTCATCGTGCATTTTCTTCGCGAATGCGTAGACTTACTGAGGATACCACGGAACACTGAATCATTCGTTTGAAGAAAAAGGAAAAACGGGTGGGTGGAGCATAATCAAGGGGCATCATTGGCTGAGGACCTTGAAAGTGACATTTATCTCGTAAAGCGGAGAGAGTAATTTTGTCATTATCGCGTTGATCAACCGCAATGATCTCGTTTGCAACAATGAATTAGATGACGTCGACTGCTGCTGCGATAATCGACTACTACTTAAATTACACGATGTTCATTTTTTGAATATTCTTCTTCTCAAAAATATATTGTCGCGGGTGTGCGCATAATTAAGTGTGGCTTTGTTAAAAATCTTATGTATTTATAATACGTTTGAAGAAGGCTCCATTATTCCAGAGCTATGTATTTAGTTCCATTCGACTAAGTATGAAAGTTGGTCCAGCGTACAGAGAGTACAGAAAGATGATACAGATGGCGACACCGAACGCTGAAATGTAGTGGCTGTTCTGTAAAGGAAGAGCAAGAGAGGATGAGAGGAGAATTCTCGCTTTGGAATAAATATTTAGTAGTAGATATACTGCTAATTTAAATCTAAAGATCTTATTACAAGTTCGCAGCCATTAGCTCGCTATTACTCGAGACGAAGGATCGTTCTATCCTTCTATCGAAGGAAACAAAGTCCTTCCATCTCCAGTTACAATCTTAGAAACTAACAATAAGTACGAAAAGAAGGAAACAAAAGGAAACGAAGCTCCTTCGATTTCCTAGTCTGCTTATGCCAAGCAATTACTTGGAATAATATTCCCTATTATTAATACTATAGGAAAATCATATTCTCGATCGTTTCCTAAACAAATATTGTTAATAATTAATTCAACTATTGTCAGAAATTAATATTTACTTGGTCCGATAAATAGATACTAAAATATAGAAAAATTTCTCACGATTAATGTCTCGAATGAATATACTTATTCTGAATCGTAATTGTTATTAATATTCAATCGACGACTGAATGTTACACTATGTATTATAAATGTTTAATTCATTCGGAGATGTACATATTTAATACATTATGAAGTTTTAGGTTATTATTCCAATGCTTCTCGCGAAAGTAATATTTCCGAACACGAAAAGTTGAGAAATACTCACGATTAATGTCTCGAATGAATACTTATTCTGAATCGTAATTGTTATTAATATTCAATCGACGACTGAATGTTACACTATGTATTATAAATGTTTAATTAATTCGGAGATGTACATATTTAATACATTTTGAAGTTTTAGGTTATTATTCCAATGCTTTTCGCGAAAGTAATATTTCCGAACACGAAAAGTTGAGAAATATTTTCCTATCGCACCGTTACATCCGAACTTCTATTATTGCACCTATTTGTTTGCTAGAGATGCATTGTTCGTAGCCTCCATAGAAATAACTATATTTTTCTGACCACTCTATTCCCTTACAACCCTTGAGTTACCCTAAATTTTTCAAAATACTGTACCAATCAATTCTACGATGATCAATATTTCTTAAAACCTACAGAATGGTGTAGTGATTGTACAGATACCGATATTCTCATAATCAAGTCGCAATTCCAATGTTTGCACTTTGATCATTCGTAAAGAAAAAAATATTCCAAGGTATAGAAAATTGCTATTTTCTGAAAACTAGGAGTAGGATAGCTGCACGATCGAACAAGAATTTTTCTGGTCAGAAGAAAGTGTAGCCATCTTGTGATTCGAAACTGCAACTAAAAATTGTCGATCTACTGTCGATGTCGGTTAGTGTAGTAACGTAGTAACGCACTTTTACGTTTGTTACATAGATAGCAGCTCCAGGGACTTACACCAAGTTTCTACGTTGTACTTAGATTCTCTTTGCGTGCGTACTTCGTCCGAATACATTTTCAATACGTGTTTCTTCCTTATTTTTGTGTATATCACAAAATAACGTAAATAGATTACCAGAAAAAATGAACGTTTATCTTCGTAACTCAGCCTCTGCATCGTTTGCGATGTAATTACTGTATTGTACGTTGTAAATACATACTTAAGCGTGCATACAAGTAATTGGTAAATCACGAAACGATTCGAGTTATTGGGAAATACAATCGTGAACCAGTGTGAACTAAGATCGTATCTTATCATAAGTGCAACTCTGCACGTCAAAGATCAGAAAAAATACAACGACCATAATCCTTTACAGTAATACCCACGTAATTTCCATGACGTAATCCGTTCCCCAAGTAGAAACACATTTCTTAACGAACATTTCGACTAGAATGGGATTCGTAAGTCGTCGATCGCGAAACGTAAGCGTTGTGACGCATTCTTTTATGCGAAAGGTAAACAAAGAAAATTTAATTGCGTTAACAAATCTCGCATCGTCACCATAGCGGGAATGAATGAATAGCTTATTGCTATTCGAGAGTGAACTCTGTCTTGAGTCCTGGTGTTCAAAGCGGATTGGGAAAAACCCCGGGTAGCATCGTTTCTGCAGGATCTCAGCGATCTCGGCCATGGGATAAGAGAATTGTAGATGTGACCCTGACCAGTGCTGCTGTTATCCCATAAACAAAAAAGACATCTGCTTGGGTAAGCCCCTGATCGAAAGGGGGACCTCCAAAATCGATATTGCAAACTTTCGTTGTCAACAGTGTGAATGTACATGCAGTGTAGAGTAAATTTCTCTGCTGGAAAAACTTAATATTAGAAATAGTTGGACTACGTTAGGGATAACATTTTAAACAGGAATGTGGATGTACGCATATCACAAAAGATTAAAATTGAAGGGGGACTAGTATTAATTTTCGTGCGAAAATAATTTATTGTGAATT